TGACAGGTATTCTAGTGTATTTTTCATAGTCCTATGCAGATCTGATCTATGTTCAGATCTAAAATTGGTTTACTATTTATAAAATATTGACTTGGCTTTCAGTTAGAGATTAATCTCAGGTGAGCTAAGCAATCTAGGTTTCAAGCCATTAGAATCCAAGATCAAACCACGGTTTAAGTAGGTCATGAATATACATAGAAGTAGCAGCTAAGAAAGTCTTTTTAGACTTTTTACTCTGTCTACTTACTAGACCCAATTCCTCATCCCCAAATAGGTTGAAATTTAGTGTTCATAGTGATTCGATTGACTCTTTTTCTTTTTATTGAGACAAAGTCTCAAGCTATTAAAGTGGGTAGAGAGCACCCTGGCATCACAGCTCAAAGCAACCTCAAACTCTTGGGCGTAAGTAATTCTCTTGCCTCAACTTGGCCTCCCAAGTAGCAGGGACTATAGGTGCCCGCCACAATGCCCAGCTATTTTTTGTTGTTGTTGTTGCAGTTGTTGTTTTAGCTGGCCCGGGCCAGGTTCGAACTTGCCAACCTCAGTGTATGTATTGAGACCAAGTCTTACTCTGTTGCCCAAGGTAGAGTGTCATGGCATCATCATCGCTCACAGCAACCTCAAACTCCTAGGTTCAAGTTATCCTTTTGCCTCAGCCTCCTGAGTAACTGGGACTACAAGCATACAGCATCATGCCTGTGTAGGGCTCTTGCTCAGGCTGATCTCCAAATCATGAGCTCAAACAATCCACCCACCTTAGCCTCTCAGAGTGCTAGGATTACAGGCGTGAGCCACTGGACTAGTCTTGATCAGTGGTTATTAAAATATGAAATAGCATGTATAAATCTATATTTCCAATTCTTTAATTTTTGAAATATTAAGCTGAACATACTTTTTCATACCAGAAAAACCTAGGAAGATATAACCAGTTATAACATTTTAGATTTTTGTCTCCTCTGCAGCTGTCAGCAGTGTGTTTTCAGCTCTGTTTAACTGCATTCAACATACTGTCACACACATAGACTTTGGAGACTTCATCCTTTGATCTGAAGTAACTGGCCATAGAGGGAGCATATCTGTGACTTGAGTTTTACAAAAAGATTTAAAAGTGGCAGGTGGTGCCTAAGCGGCTAAGGCGCCAGCCACATACACCAGAGTTGGCAGGTTCAAATCTAGCCCGGGCCCGCCAAACAATGACAACTACAACCAAAAAATAGCCAGGCATTGTGGCGAATGCCTGTAGCCTCAGCTACTTGGGAAGCTGAGGCAAGAGAATCACTTGAGCCCAGGAGTTGGAGGTTGCTGTGAGCTGTAATGCCATGGCACTCTACCCAGAGCGATAGCTTGAGGCTCTGTCTCAGAAAAAAATAAAAAATAAAAGTGGCCAGCTTGCAAATTAAACAGTTGTGTTCCTCTGTCAGGGATTCACTTGGGTTTCTGAGGCATGAGAAAAACCTAAAACTTTGTCAAGGCTAGGCATTAAAGAGTGGCAAGCAGGTTGAGGACCGAGAAGAGGTGAAACACTACTTATGAAGACTGCTTTCCTTTCATCCTGTGGTCCCAGAGGATGAAAAAAGTGGATGAGTGGACTCAAAAATTGGGCTTTCTTTAACTTACAAAAAGAACCTTACTTCAGGTGATGGGATTGGCTTGCTAAAATCTGCCATTATCACTGTAATTTTTATCTTCTTACCACTGCAGTGGTGTCTTTTTTTTGAGACAGAGCCTCAAGCTATCCTCCTGAGTAGAGTGCTGTGGCATCACAGCTCACAGCAACCTCCATCTCCTGGGCTCAAGCGAGTCTCCTGCCTCAGCCTCCCAAGTAGCTAGGACCATAGGCACCCGCCACAACAACCGGCTATTTTTTTTTTTTTTTTTGGTTGCAGCTGTCATTGTTGTTTTGGCAGCCCGGGCTGGATTCAAACCCACCACCTTAGGTGTATGTGGCTGGCACCTTAGCCACTTGAGCCACAGGCGCCGAGCCAATGGTGTCTTATTTAAGAGATTTTTTTGGGACTGTAAAAGTGGTGGGGCTTGACTCCATTTTTCTTTGGATGACTAGAGCATTCTTTCTTATCAATGGTGTGTTCTGCTTCCGTTAGTGACACAGCTGTTGGAAAAGCACTGGAAACATCCATGTGGATTTCTGAGCAGTGTTAGTAGAGTTCTTACGTCCTGCAAGAAGTAAAGTCTTCCCAGCAGAAGTGTTATAAGCTAAGGGAATTTGTTCTTGTATTAAAGAATGTTAAAAAGAGGACACTGTCTGTGGCTCAAAGGAGTAAAGTGCCAGCCCCATATACAGGAGGTGGCGGGTTCAAACCTGGCCCTGGCCAAAAAAAAAAATTCAGAAAAAAAAGAAAAAGAATGTTAAAAAGAGCAAGGTGTCTGGGCACAGTGGTGTACCTCTAATCCTACTGCTTTGGGAGGCTGAGGTGGATTGAGGATCGCTTGAATCCAAGAGTTAAAAACCTTGGGTTCTTGAACAAGAGCCAGACCCTGTCTCTACAAAAAATAGAAAAATTGGCTCGGTGCCTGTAGCACAGTGGTTACCGTGCCAGCCATATACACTGAAACTGGCGGGTTCGAACCTGACCCAGGCCAGCTAAACAACAATGACAACTGCAACAAAAAATAGCTGGGCATTCTGGTGGGCACCTGTATGTAGTCCCAGCTACTTGGGAGGCTGAGGCAAGAGAATCGCTTAAACCTAATAGTTGGAGATTGCTGTGAGCTGTGACACCAAGACACTATTGAGGATGACATAGTGGTACTCGGTCTCAAAAAAAAAGAAAAAAGAAAAATTAGCTGGGTACAATGTTACAGGTCTGTTTTCTAGCTACTCAAGAAGTGGAGGCAGGAGAATTGGTCCAACCCAAGAGTTTGAGGCTGCAGTAAGCCATGATGATGCCATTGTACTCTAGTCTTAGAGATAGAGCAAGACTCTGTCTCAAAACAATAACACCAGAAGAAAATTTAGAAGTGATCTATTCCTGCTTTCTTATTTTATAGTTGGAGAAACTGAAACCTACATAGAATGAGGAACTTATTGAAATGTACACAGCTTCTTCAATTGGCAAGTTTAGAACTTTGTCCTCTTTATTTCTGGCCCAGTGTTCTTTCCATACCATTTTAATTGTTGAAACTTTTTTTTTTTTGAGGTAGTCTAACTTTGTAGCCCTCAGTAGAGTGAAATGGCATTGTAACTAACAGCAACCTCAAACTGTTGGGCTCAAGCAATCCTCTTGCCTCAGCCTCCTGAGTAGCTGGAACTATAGGTGCCCACCACAACACCTGGCTAGTTTTAGAGATGGGGTCTCCCTCTTGCTCAGGCTGGTTTCCAACTCCTAAGCTCAGGAAATTCACCCTCCTTGGCCTCCCAGAATGTAAGGATTACAGGTATGAGCCACAGCACCTGGCCCAACAATTTTAGGGTTTTTTGGTTATTTTTTTGAGACGGAGTCTCAAGCTGTTTGCCTGGGTAGAGTGCTGTGGCATCATAGCTCACAGCAGCCTCCACTTTTGGGCTCGAGTGATACTCTTGCCTCAGTTTTTTCTATTTTTAGTAGAGACAGGGTTTTGCTTTTGCTCAGGTTGCTCTTGAACTCATGAGCTCAAGCAATCTACCTGCCTCAGCCTCCCAGAGTGCTAGGATTATAGGCATGAGCTGAGCCCCACCTTTTTTTTTTTTTTTTTTTTAAAGATGGGAGTCTTGTTCTGTTCATCCAGGCTGGAGGGCATTGATCATAACTCACTGCAACCTCCAACTCCTGGGCTCATGTGATCTTCCTGCTTTAGCATCTGGAGTGTCTGGGACCCCAGGTGCATGCCACTACACCTGGCTGATATTTTTATATTTTTGTAGAGATAGGGGTCTGTTGCCCAGGCTGGTCTCTAAATCCTGGGCTTAAGTGATCATGGTGCCCCAGTCTCCTAAGTAAATAGGATTACAGGAACGAGATACTACACCCATTTACTTGAAACAGTTTTTAAAATTAGACAACAATTATAATACTAGGTTTTGAGAGGAGTTAAAAAGAAGCATTTGGGCTCGGCGCCTGTGGCTCAAGCGGCTAAGGCGCCAGCCACATACACCTAAGGTGGCG